CAGTTTGGAGGCAATCAAATGTTACTCTGGTCGAAATTGATGTACCAGGAGAAGTTCATCTTATCCATTTCAAGAAGATATTCGAATGATGTCTTTGTCCAACTGCATCGCTATATAATTAGGCAAAACTAATGACGCCTGTGGCTGTAAGTATTTTCGGTCCCTTGTGATTATACCAATAATCACAAATGTGAACTCCACGAACTCTTTTACAAACAAAAGGGTTAATTTACACAGTTTCTTTTTAAAAACTTCTGAAGGGTTTGTCCCATTTCATTTTTATTTAATCTCCGGCTTTTGCTTACCGCTATGCCAAAAAGGAATCGAGGCCTTGATCAATATTTAATTTTCATCAATGGAAGTCAATAACGTTCTACACCAACACTGCGTTTAGTTCACCTAAGTCAAAAAGACCAGCAGAAAAGAATGTGACATCCACTTGAAAAAAATCGTCAAACATCCAGTAGTTAAGTTACTATGCCCGTTCAAAATAGTTATGTTTTAGTGATAGTAGTGATAAAACTATGTTTTAGTTTTAGTTGCGCACTTTTGCCAGTTTATTCTATTTTTAGTATACAAAAATTATTGTTGAATATAAAGTATAAACGATGCATTATCACACGCTATACACATGTGTAACCCAAGGTTCACTTCCAAATAACAAGAACCATTATTTATAGGTCACGATATAAAAAATACTATATAAGTAAAATTACTTTAGATTAAAAAAAATGCTTCACCCTAAGCAGTAAAAGTAGACTATATTAAAAAGGTTATTACCCTCAGGAAATTAATGGTTTACAGGGGGAGCTGGAATCATCACAAGTCTACAATTTCAAGTACGGACAATTTTCACCGGCAATAGTATAGCTACAGAGCACAGCAATTCGGCTGAGATCCTTCTCAGGATTCTGTATGAACTTGTTTTTGCTGGCTTAGAACATGGTACTTCATGCTAAAACCCATATCCTCTCTGAGAGATCCCTGTTCACCACTTACCAGGTTGTATCGTGTTATTGGGGTGTGGTCCCTGGCTACATGGTTTTTCAGGTTTAGTGGCTTCTGACTAGCGCCCTCCCACCCCGAACAAAGATATTGACAAACGGGAAGAGCCATCAACATAGGGCTGGATAGCTCAGTTGGTTGAGCACCGGTACGGTATTTTGGAGGTCGCCGGTTCAATTTCCGCTTCAGTCAATTTCTGTGTTCATCTTAATAATTATGAAAAAATTCATTTGAAGCTC